CTGGAGGTGTTCAAAAGCCGGGTTGATGTGGTGCTGGGAGGGATGGTTTAGTGATGATGCTCCTTGTTTGTTGTGGGGGTGTCTATTTTTGTCAGTAGGTTGACGGTTGGACAAGATGATCTTGAAGGCCCCTTCCAACCTAGAAGATCCTGGGATTCTGTGATTCTTTCTGGTGGTTTTTTACACTTCCAGTGGCTCTTTATCCTTCCACCTCCTTCCCAATTCCCTGGGAGGGTTTTGGGGGTTGATTTTTTTTTTGTGTGTGTGTGTGCTTTTAATTTTTTCATTATTTTTTTTAATACTTAACCAAATTCTCCCTGTCTCTCTCGCCAGGACTCCCTCCCCCAGGATCCTTCCCCCCTCCGGTGCCGCCTCCCGGAGCGATGCCTCCCGGGATGCCTCCTGCCATGCCTCCACCACCCATGCCACCCGGTGCGGGTGCCCCAGGACCCCCCTCGGGGGCTGCCCCAGCTGGGGGGCACCCCCCACATCCCCACCCCTTCCCTCCGGGCGGGATGCACCATCCAGGTAAGGATCGGACGGGGATCGGGGTCGGAAAACTCCGCTCATCATCTCCTCCTGGGGGGTGGGCTTGGGGTAAATTGCCCCCTCCTTTTCCTTGGGTAAGTCCCCCCGTCCCCCTCCCCTCCTTTTTCTTCCCTGAGGTTCCTCTTCTGTAAAATTTAGATCAGATTTTTTCTTTTTAGAAGCAATTTTTCACTTTGAGGGGTGGTGACACCCTGGTGCCCAGAGAAGCTGTGGCTGCCTCATCCCTGGAGGGGTTCACAGAGTGGGGGGGGAAAAAGGGATGATCTTGAAGGTCCCTTTCCCGCTCAGACCATTCCCTGATTCTGTAAAAAGTGGGGAGAAAACTTGCCATCCCCTAAAAAGGACTGAAAGTGGGATTTTTCCAGGGGGAGGGAGTACGTCACCGCAGTGGGGCCGGGCGCTGCTTTCTGGATTTCTCTCCTGGGTGTTCTAAAATATATTTTTTTAAAAAAAAAACAAACCAAAACATAAAACCCCAGCCTGGAGCAGGTCCCGGCGGGATTTATGGAGCTTTTTGTGGTGATTTCCTGAGTTTTGCTCCTTCTGGGAGGCAGCCAGGCGGGTCGAGACGGGGTTTTCCTCGCGCGGGGGGAAGGTGCGG